TAGCAGACTAGCAGAGAGCATGCAACAGATGAATCGCACGACCACAGCCAATGAATCGCACGACCAAAGCTAACAATTGTAAAATAATATTTGGATCTATTTACGTATGTATCGATTCTTCGTCTTTTTCAACTTTTTCGGGCATTTTCTCAAATAAAAACAGAATCAAGATAAGATTTGATGACAGCACCTAGAGGTCGTGCAATAGTGAATAGAATAAGAGCAAAGTTAGCTCAAAGATTATCAATAAGAAAACTAATAATAATAATAATAATAATAATAAAAAACTGTAGGAAAAAAATCCAAAAAGAACCATCTTGAGAGAAGACGAAGAAGAGGCATGTAAAACTGGTGAGAAACCCACCATTTTAATAACATAAAGATACATTAAAAGGAGAATTTTTATAACACTAAATATATTGATGAAATATATTTTGGATGACTGGTGAAAATAATTCACTAACCCCGTAATAACCCAAATTTTTATTTTTTTATTTTTTTATTTTTTATTTTTTTATTTTTTTACTTATTTTATTTTTTCTATTTTTATTTATTTTTTATTTTTTTGTTTTTTAATTTGAAGTTTATTAAGGAAAAAGAAAAAAGAAAGAAAGAAAATGATGAAAAAAAATGAAAAAAATTTCATTTAGGGATACAATTGAAGTAATTAAGGATGTAATCGAGTCAATTAAAAAGTTTAGGCCTTAAATTGCACCTCCGAGAGACCTAATTGTTGAGATTGTATTGAAATTATTTCGCGAGAGGGCGTAATTGCTGAAATTGAAACGCGAGGACCAAGCTCGGAAGTTTGGAGCGAACGACATGAGCGAAATGGAGCAAATGACTCGTCGTTCGCTCCAAGGCAGATTCTCTCCTAAAATCTTTGGGAGAATCGCCCAAATCCTCCATGAATTTCTTCTTTTTGATTGTGTATTAATCATGGATTTTGTTGCCAAAACCAACACTAACAGGAATCAATGAGAATTTCCTGTTTTGATTTCACAATTAATCATGAATTAAAGAGGAAAATTTTTGACGGAAAATTCAGAGATTTCGGTTGAATTTTAGGAAATGTTTTAGCTATAAAACGTTTGAATTTCACACAAAAAGGAAAAAAAAATTGGGCGAACAATTCGACTAGAGAGAGTTCAAAAAATCGAAAGCAAAAGATTTAATTTTAATTTTTGGCGAATTGAGTTTTTTACGGGTTTCTAGGTTCCGAGTTGAAAGTTCTTATTCGGGTTTGTGTTATTCAACCCAAAACAAGTTTGAAACGTCTTTAGTTTTGATTCAAGGAAGTTTTTGGGTTCGTTAAGGTAGAGAAAAAGAAATCGAGAGCTAGGTTTCAATAAATTCATGAGAAACAAGCTTCCTTGGTGCTTGCGTTTACGGGTTTTCTTTCTGCATTTTCCGGATTCGTCTTGGTGTTCTTCGGAAGTTTTCCGGGTGAGTCTCTAAATTCGATTCCCTGTTCTTTTTTATTTTGTTTCTTCGTTTTAATATCGGATGTTTACTTGCTATTTATTTCTTGTCTCGAATTGTGATGTGTGTGATTGAGTTTGTTGCTTGAAAAAGGAATTTAATCTCTGGAAAATGTGAAGAACTAGAGAGAGAAATCGAAGAATGAACTAAGAACGAGGAGAGAGGGAGAGTTGCTTCGGGTGTTTGATCTGTTTTTGTTTAAGTTGTTTACGCGGGCTCGTTTCGGGCTTAAGCCCGACGAAGAAAAAGGGAAAAGAAAACGCGCCGAGGCCGGATCGATTTCAGCTTGACCTGACCTAATGCCAAAAAAAAAGAGAGAAAAGGGGTTGGGCTGATCTCATCCTAGCCCGCACCCTTTCTTAAAAAAAAAAAAAAAAAAAAAAAAGGGGTCGAAGCTGATTCACCCTTTTTTTCCAAATAAAAAATAAAAAATAGGATTATGGAATAAAAATTAAAAAAAAGAGTAAAAGTGGTAGGTTAATATTTTAGGTATAGAATTTTTTTTTTATTACTTTTATCGTTAGTTATTTTTTATCCGCTTACATAGGATGATTTTTTATTATTTTGTATTTTATTTTTATTTTTATTTTCATTTAATTTTTAGCCTATTTTACTTCTTTTAGTTTTTCTTTATTAATTTAGAACTTTTGTTTCAGTTCTTTTTCTTTAATATGTATTGCTAGAAAATTATATATATATATATAAAATTTTGACAAAGTCTCCTATCTAATAGGGACCGACGTCGTAAAAAAAAAATACCAAAAAAAAAATGGCGAAGTGTCCTATTTAATAAGGATCGACGCCATACGAAAGAAAAAAAAAAACCTTTTAATCGGGACGTCCTCCGACACGCCGATTGTGTCAAAGCTTTTAGTGGATCCGATGTTTGAATCGACGTGTCACCCAACAAAGGGGATCGACGATCGGTTCAATATGATGTCATGCCCAAAACTAAAAAAATTTATTTAGTCTAAAAAATAGGAGTTTAAAAATTAGAAAATATCTTGACATGGATTTTTAAGAGATAATTTAGGACTAAACCGTGCATGGTACCTTTTTTCAAAAAGGGCGCTTTTAGGTGATTAAAGATCTTCCTAAAAAGCGTAACCAACTCCTTACCTTATGAATCTTTAAACCAGGTGATACTTTTAGGTTCCTAGTTACTAAAATACTATGTAGCAACTCCAAAACTCTATAAATAATTTTGTATATAATTAATGCTCAAACTGATTAATTTTCTTTTGGGGGGTCTCGTCCGACGTCGTGTAGCGACAAAACCTATCATAAATCAAACAAAATTGCTAATTATCATTTAATTATGGTGGAATAACACTTGCATATAAATATGTTTACATGGATGCTATTACAATTAATGTTATAGACAATATTCATTTTGAGATTGGTATGTTATGTAGAGAAATACGTAATTAAGAAGTTGTCTTCTATTTTTTCACAAAAACATAATAAATTTTATGGAAAAATTAATAGTGTAAAGTATTCAATATATTAAATAATCCCTCATATTATATCTAAGGCCACATGAAATCTATTAGATATTGTATCATAGAACAACAATTAATATCCAATATTTTTGCCTAAAATCAGCCTAGGAAGATCGAATAATATTTGTGGAATCAGCAAAGGAATAACAATTAATTTTTACCACATAATATAGGAATCATCTTTCACCACTAAAATCGAATTAGCCTTGAGATGTACGGAATTTGACTCGAGAACGCAAGAAAAAAAATTCTACCCGATAATGTAACATCGTGCTTAGGGATTGCTGACGAGACTTGACTTTTTCTTTTTTCTTTGGAATCTATGGGGGGCTTTCGAGCAACTTAAGATAACCATGTCACATACTGGCGGTTAAAAACTTTCTAATTCAGGTGTCTTGCAAGTTGCAAATTGATCAATTGTTCAAAGAAAACCTTTTCCTTTGGGAGATCTATCACAAGCATGCAATTTTTAGAATCAACTAATATATATATATTTCTATATTTGTCACCAACTTTCATACGTGTCCTCAGTCAAAAGTGTGCTGCTTTACATGAACTGTTGCATCTGTAACACCAAAATATTGTTTTTTTTTTTTCTTTTACATGAATCAAAGTGCTTTTGGCCCATGATGATAAATTTCATATTTCATATTTCTTTCTTAAAATGTTATTTGATTATCAGAAATAAAACATCCAAAATTAAAGTAACAAAATCAGAATAAAAATTTAAAAATCAAAATGATATTTTCATTTCAATACTTTCTTTGAAATAGTAATAATAAATCAAAATAAAATTTAAAATTTTTAATATCTAGTTTCCAAAAAAAATAAAAATAATATTTTAAAAAATAATTTCATCAATTATAATAGTTTTAAAACTAATAAAGATAATTATAGTGATGGTAGTGGAAAAAAAAGAATTAAGATAATAAGATAATAATAATAGTAATATAGTAAAAACAATAATATATTTTTAAAAAATTGATGTCACAAAAGAGTTAATAATGAAAGAAAAATAGTTGTGATGAAATAGAATGAATGGTGTTAGAGTAATAATAGTAATGATATTTTTTAAAAATAAATTTTATTACCACCGATAACAATGGTGGTGGTGTCAATGGTGCGATTGGTTATAGTAATAAAAATAACTAATACACAATAAATAAAAACAATGCATATTTTTTAAGAAAAAATCTCGTTCTTTTTTTTGGTTTTTGTTTCCACTTCTTTCATAAGAATAAAATCATATTTAATTTTTATTTTTATACACAATGAATAAAATAAACATATCAATTTTTTCTTTCATTTTTGTTAATTAAGAAAAATCCCTAAAATATGCCCTATATATGAAGTCAAGTACACCATCGCTTAAATATTGCAACAGAGGGCATGCAACATAATTGTATGAACACAGCTAACAAATGTAAATATTTTTTGGATCTATTTATGTGTATATTAATATGTTTTCTTTTCTAATTTTATGTATCTATTTTTATTTTGATGAAAGAGATAAATAAAAAAAATATCAATTCATTAAAAATAATTAGAATATTTCTATCTAAACTTAATTTTATTTTTTAATATTTTTTTATCTGTAAAGTAAATATTATTAGTTACTTTATTAATATTTTAATGAGAAAACTTGATAGTGACTATTCAAAACTGAATAGAATGGAAGCAAAATCAGTAGTCAACCAAGTGGCATAATCAAACCCTTTTAGGTGACGGTGTCATACAGTTTTTTACTTTTAAGGTTATCAATTAACACTTCCATTACTTTGCCTCATTTTTGCTCAAAGATTATTAATAACAAAACTAATTAGTCATATGTCCAACTAATATCAATAAATGTTTTTAAAAAATCCTTTTCCCGGGCTCTTTCTGTTGTAATAAAAAGAAAAAAAGGGTAAAAAAATATTCGATAAAAGAACAATAGAAAGACGAGAAAGAAGAGAAATATATAACTGGTGAGAAGCCAACAATTTTAATAACATGATGATCGATTAAAGTAAGGTTTTAAGAGAGTTGAGCAATAATATCATCATGGGCTTGTAGTTGGGATGCTGTCGTGATGAAGTGGGTCTGGTCCGAACGGAACTGGTCGGAGCTGTCTCCCTGACTGATCTGCAACTGAACTTGAAGCTGCTCCGTTCCCCTTTCCTTTGACCAAATAACTAGTTTTATGATCCTGGATTTACAAACCAAAAGAAATCAAGCTTAGAAAATGGGAACAAAGAGAGAGAAACCATTAAAAAACGTTAAAAATTATCAATCTGTAGCTCTGGCTTTTATTCTCAACGAAGAAAATGTTACTTTTTTTCCAATGATATTTTAAAAAGTGGTCGGATATGTCAGCATACCTGTTCTGCAGCTCTGGCTTTATATCTTGCTGCTATGAGATGGCATGTTGTAAGCCATTAAACAAGAGAAAACAAATTAACACGAAAGATTCAAACTCGAGAAAGAGAGAAAGAAAAGAATGATTTTGAACTTACGGGAACGAGAAGAATGGACTGCTGACATGAAAGCCAAAATCTAGATGATCAGAAGAATGGAGGTTAATGAAAACCTTGCGTGACCATGTCCAAATGCCATTTTTTCGTTTTGTAAAACCCAAAAAAGACCAGCTTTAACTCTATAAAGAAGTTGCGCTTTTCTTAACAAAAATACAAAGCAATGGGTTTGAAGAGAAAAGCAGTAGCCGTTCCGACCTTATATCGCAATAATAAATTATAAATTAGTCAATGTCGTTAAAAGAAATGAATTAATTAATTCATTTTTTAAAAAATAATTATTTAGTCTCTTATGTTCTGATTCCATCACCAACTTGAATTTTTTATTAATTTTTTTTGTTAGATTAGTGATTTTTTTTTTATATAATCAAAAGAGAAAATGAATAGGTGATGAAAAGAGAGAAAATGAATAAGTGAAGAGGATAAATCAAGCATCAAAAGAAGGATAATTCGAGAAAAAAACACTAATCTAGTGAGAAAAAATGATGAAAGAGCTCAGTTGTTAATAAAATTAAAACATAAAAAACTAAATGATTAGTTTTTAAAATAAGAAAGACTAATTAATTGGCTTCTCAAAACTAGAGGGACTAATTTGTAACTTACTCATTGCACCTGGGTGTTGTTATTTATGGACTTCTATAACCATAGAAGAGTACAGAAATTTTCTAACGAGCAGCCGCTAGAGGGGTAAAACGTCCAAGGGTAGGATTGTCTATAAATAAGTGACTCCACAGGCCGCATACGTATGTTTCCCAGTTGGCCCGTATCTAGACAGACACCGACTTAATAGCCAATACGGAACGCGGAGGCGTGGGAATCTGCCACGTGGCGAGATGATGGCATTGAGACGATCCAGAAAACAGGTGGAGATGATACCTGTGAGCACGAACGCGAACGTTCTGGGGGTCAGTTTTTACGGAGAAATTTTATAATATATTAAAAATAACTAAGTGGCATGTATAATAGTTATTTTATAAGCTTCATTTTGAAAAGAGAAATAGACATACAAAAAATAATAAAATTATATTACATACTCAATAAAGCTGATAAGAAGATTTATACGTTTGCTCAAATTTTTTATTTTCTCTCTCCGTTTCTCTCTCTCTTTTATTGTGTCTATCTTTCTCTTTAAAATAAGCCTATAGAGTAACTAATATACATGCAACTAGTTTTTCCTAATGTATTATAAAATTACTCGTCTAGACGGGACGACTTGTGCGTTTGTTTTGGTTAATCCTGTTTTTTTCACCGTCCAAACAAATTCATAATTTATAAACAATGAAGAAAATTTCTCTGTTTTTTTAAGAATAATGAAAATTTTGAACCAATTCTTAACAGTCAAGAGGTCAGCACTAAATATTTTCTTTAATGAAGCATAATACCAGACTCAAATCCTAAAAGAATTCTTTAATTTTGAATCCAAAATATTAAAATCGAAGATAGAAGATAAAAATATAATATTCAATTCATAACTTTTTAATCCCCAAAACATTAGACGGTTTTTTTATTCGACAACAAAGACTATTTGTGAACCAATTTGTGAATCAATTAAAATTTATTTATTTTTTGAGAAGTTTTAAATATCTCTTACATCTACATGATATATTCAAAAACATCTAATAAATTCTCACAAAATTTTTAACTTTAAAATTTGAACCTAGTGAAAAAAAAAAATTAACTTCTCTCGTTTTGAAGAATGTAAGCAATTCAGTTTGAGTCCCTCCATTTTTTGAGTAAAGAATCTTAGCAATTCGGTCTGAGTCCCTCCTTTTTTTTTTTTTTAGTAAATTATAAATTAATTTCTCTCGTTTTTAGAAATAAATTAATCAATCTCTTTCATTTTAAAAATTAATTATTTAGTTTCTATATTTTTAAATTTATTTGTAATTTAATTTTTTTTGTTCCTTTTCAATTTATTTTTATTTTTTATTTTAAGAACTAAAAAATACAAAAAAATTGATGAGAAAAGAAGATATTTTGAAAAATAAAAATAATACTAAATTAAAAATAGTCCACATTGGTCAAAATATTAAATAATAATTTTTGAAATGAGAAGCATTGATTAATTTATTTTTAAGACTAGGGGGACTAATTTATAATTTACTCAAGAGAAAACACAACCCATCTTCCGTAAGAAAAAAATGTAAAACACCATAATAATCTAGTCCTCTCTCTCTCTCTCTCTCTCTCTCTCTCTCTCTCTCTCTCTCTCTATATATATATATATATATATATATATTCACAATTAGTGCTAATTAATTTTTATTTTATACCTATATTTTTTAGCTATTTAAAATACCAATACATAGTATATAATTTAATTTTCTATATATATATATATATCGATTATGCACCTTTTTTTAATTTGATTTTTTAAAAACAATTAATTAGTTGTATTTTTTCTTTATCAAAATTAAAAATATTCTTAGGATATATTTAGACTGAATTATATATATATTAAAATAATGTTTAATTTTAGTTAATGAGTCTTTACAAAAAAAAAAAAAAAAAGTAACCATTAATTATGAAAACAAATTATTTTAAGTAAATAATAAATAATAAACAAAGTAATACTCCGCTGTTTAGTAAATGTCAATTTGTAAGTTAGATTCAAGATTTGATTATTATTATTAGCGTTTTTGAGAATTTATTATCAGAATTCTCGAGATTGTCCATCGGGAAGTATTCCTTAGCCAAGCAAAAAAAAAAAGAGATTAATTTCAAAATGTGTAAAATCTGATTTGAAAACACCCTTGGTGCTAAATCTTAAATAAATAAATAAATAAATAATTAGGATAAAAAAGACCGGGCTTGGTGGTATGGGCCTGGAAAAATAGGCCCAAGAGGCTGGGCTAGAAGTCCAGTCTAACGATACAATTTTAGGGATCTTTTTATAACTATAATGAAAATTGAGAACTGTTTTGTATAAAATAATAAATTGCAAGACTAAAGTGTAAAAAATAACAAACTGACCAAAAAAATCACTTATATTTTTCACTTTAATGTCAAATGCTGGTCCCTACAACGCCCTCAAATTTATTCTAACTGAGCATTGCATCAATTTTTTTTTTTGTATTCTGATTCTGTTGAAAAAGTAAAATCTGGTTCAGGATTGCCTTTTTATTTTTCTAGCTTTTTGAGAATTTAGAAGTTATAGTTTAGAAAGTTTTCATACTAAAGCTGTTTTTATACTAGAACTCAATCCAGTTAAGCTTGTGGAAGTTTCACACCGGGCTGGAAATAGAGGTGTCATGAACTGGCTCTAAAATTTAAACCTAAAAAGTAAAAAAGAAAAAGAAAAAGAAAATATATCTTCTTTAACAGCATAAATGGAGCTGATGAACCTTCACAAACGTATGAGCTCCTCCCACGCAAACAGGAAATTACTAGCATAATGCCTGCGCATTATCGTGAGTAAGTCTATACAACATGTTTTATTATTTTAGGAGTAAAATAAAAATTTAAAATTAACACTAATTGTGAAAAATTATTGAGTCAAATTAAAAAATTAAAATTATTGAGTAAATAATTAAAAAATTTAGAACTAAAATAAAAATTAATTAACACTAATTGTGAAAAATTATTTAATATATATATATATATATAATTGATTTTAAATATGTACTAGAAATATTTTTTATTTTGATCAATAACACAAAAGAAAAAAAGGAAAACATGCATTTATTTATTATTTATTTTAAAATAAAATTAGAAGAATATTCTAAATCAATTTCTATCCGAAGAGTGTTTTAATTTTATTTGATTCTATAAAAAAATAACCCTTAATTTTTTTACTATTTTAAATAATTAGAAAATCTATATATATATATATATATATATATATATATATAATTGAGTTTAAATATGTCCTAGAAATATTTTTTATTTTGACCAATAACAAAAAAAAAAAACATGCATTTATTTATTTTAAAATAAAATTAAAAGAATATGCTAAATCAATTTCTATCAAAAGAGTGTTCAATTTTATTCGACTCTATAAAAAAATAACCCTTAATTTTATTATATATATATATATAATTGAGTTTAAATATATCTTTTTTTTTATCAATGAAAAAAGAAAAAAGAAGAAAGAAAACTTGCAATTAATTTTTTTTAAATCAATTTATATCATAAGAGTTTTTAATTTTAGTTAATGAGTCTGTAAAAAAATAAAAAGTAACCATTGATTATGAAAAAAATTATTTTTAGTACATAATAAATAAAAGAAAATTTTTATTTTAAGTAAATAATAAATAACCAATATATATATATATATATATATAAAGCACAGAAAAAAGAGAGACTGGGCTGCGCCAGCGCCAGGCCCACACAGCCCAGCCACAAAAAAAAAACAAAGACCCATCTGCAATAAATATTTAATTTAGAGACCGTTTTGAATACAATTCTAAATTAAAGGACCAAATTGTAAACAATTGATATTTCAAACCTGTGTAATTAACAAGCGTTCTGTTATGGAGTGTGAATGGGCACCTTCCGACATTTTCAAACCCCTGTTTTGTTCTTTATATGCTCTGTTACAAGGCCGCATTTGTAGGTTTTACAGTTGGTATGTATCAGAAATCCCAACCAAATAGAAAGGAGAATTTTGAAGTACGAAAAGAATAATCGTTCATAGTTACTTTTCGAACAGCATAAAATTTGTGGAGGAGGATGAAAGTGAAGGTTTTGTGTGTGGTTCGGAGAGGAGAACTTGCGTTTGCTTTGGTTAACACCATTTTTTCACCCTCCGTACTGAATTTATTCCTCTGGGCATATGCTGTGGTTGTTGGTAGATGCCAAGGAAATCAAAGACGATTATGGCGTACTATCGAGTTGTTGGCTCAGCTGTAGCCCTGTTTTCGATGTAAAATAGCAATACTTTTTAAAAAAAAAAATTAGAGAGACTCATTTATAATTTTACCTTTTTTTTATGTGTTTTTTTTTTTTTTGGGGGGGGGGGGGGGGGGATGAAGCATATGTATTCCTATGTTTTTTTTTATTTATTTATGCAGAACCTCCAAAATGCCCCCAATTATTAGATTAGTATCAATTTGGCCCTTCAATTTTTTTATTTCTCAATTAGCGCTTTTTATTTGAATTCCTTAACAACAACTTCAGTGTCTAACAAAAAGATGCAGTCTCTAAAAAAAAAAGAAAGAAAAATCCATGATAAATATGTACGGAAAAACTTAAATCGAGAATTTCTGAAACTTGGTGGGACAATTTTTTTTTTTTTTTTATAAAGAAATAGTTGATCTTATGTTATGTTCTTTGCTTGCTTTAATTTTTGCAAATCCCATTTGTTGATGCAAATGATTACATTGCCATCGAAGTCCTCCATTGTATGCCAAAAAAAAAAGGGGGGGGGGGGGGGGGGGCGGTGGTGGGTGTGTGGGGGAATATCCACATACAATCTATGATCTGAAGTATCATCACTTTGCAAAACTAGGAAACAAGGTGAGTGATGAAATCATCTCCAATGAACTTTAGGTAGAGGTTGTAAAGTATTAGGAGGCCCCAAATGTAGTATCTGAGGAATGATGAAGATTAGTCACTCAAATTACTATTATCATAATAGATTTTCTTTTTTAAATGCATCAGAAAGCCCATGAGTTTTGAACTATATAATGAAAGAAGACTAGTCACTCAAATTATTATTATTATTATAGATCTTATTTCTTTTTAATTCATCATTAAGCCTGTGAGTTTTGAACCATACAAGGAAAGTCAACCTTCGATAACCCTCTTTTAATATATAATAACCAAATAAACTAGAATTGCTAAGAGTCGAATCTACGTTACTGGATTGTTGGATTGCATGGTAAATGGACTTGTTCATTGCAGCATCAATCCCGATTCGCTACTAGTCCATACGTAGATAGCTTTTTTGAAAATCAACCACAAATGATCTAATCTAAAATGCAATGTTTTGGACAAGAAGAGCTAAGAACCAATGGCAACTCCATTTGTGAAGAGGGAAGAGCATGAAGAAATAAAAATCATAGAAGGAAAGAGAATCCTGAACTAGTACACTTCAGACTGAGAACTAGATTCTGCGTGTCCATTGCAGAGGCAGAGGGAAACTTGAGCAAATGGGGACCCACTGAATGACAACAATAGAGGTGTCCACGAGTTATCCAAAGGTCAAAATTACCTCATCATTCGAGTCTTTCTTCGATACACAAGTAGTTCTTATACTTCATGCTTTTCAACGATCAATCTAATCATCATCTTGCCTGCCTTTCTAAAGATTGCTAATATTTTGCATTCATTTGCTTTTCCATTGCAAATAGCCATTGTTATTGCCAGTAAAAGAAAGGGTCTCTATCTAACACAGTACGTATAACTGATGCAAACACAGCTTCAGCTCATCAATGGGATAGATATACAAGTTCCAACAGAATAATTCATCCAAAGGAGTAGCATAATAAGACGTGATAAATCAGGGAGTAGAGATTATATAGGCATGGAAAAGGGAAGATGCAATTAGCATTTCTGCTAAGAGTGATCCTGCTGAAAGGTGATAAAAATTTTGTCAATTTCCCCATCTAACACAGATTACATGAACTCCTATATAATTATCCTCATAGAAGAAAACTGTGCCTGATCGTCTGATAAAACAAAAAAACAAGGAACTGCTTCCCCTTATTTTTCTTGTTAAAACATGAGTTGTGAAAATAATTAGGTCAGAAATGGTTCCCCACCTAACCTGCAGCCTTGAAATGCACATACAATAACAACTGTACATGCAGCACCTCTAATTGATAGAGAGAGTCCTTTACCGAGGTCAGAAATGGTTGCTGCAGTTTTGAGCTTTTCGGCTGTTCCAGGATCAGAATAAGATTGGGAGACTTAGTCATATGCAACTACAATTTGGCCAGTAGATTAGAAAGAGATATCACTTACAATCTGAAAGTATCAGCTTCCTGAAACTATGCACCAAAGCATTGGATCAAATCATCGTCAGGATCAACAAATAAGTTATCTAATGAAAACGAACTCATTTCAAGGAATGGGCTGTTAAACGGAAATTCTGGCAAGTCAAATTCAAATTGCCTATCAACAGCTCTATCTTGCTCAGTGGAAAATGTATCTTTGACAAGAGGATGCGGTTCTACTCCAGTCAAGTCATTTCCATTTCCATGCGGTGCTGGTAAAAGGAATCGGTCATCCTCTGGCCTGACATTCATTGTCATCTGAGAATGCTGCTCATCATGATTGGTCCCATAATCAAGTGATGGATTATAGAAATTACTGTAAGTATTCTCATGGTGCAGCTCTGAATTTTGGCCCAATGGATAAAAGGCAGGTCCTCTGTCTGCATAAGTTCCCTCCGTAGAATTGGCATTGGCAGAGGGAACACCAGCATAGTAGTTAAAGTCAGATTGTTGTAAGTTGGATTCACCCACAAGGCTTTTCTCCAGAGGCCTTAAAGCCGAAGAGGTAAGATTTTCAGGCTGAGTGCCTTGCATCTGATATTCAACTAGCTGTAAATCAGTGTGGTTTATATCAGGCAAAGTACTTGTCTGCTCCACACCCAAACGATCATCAACAAGAAGTGGTTGAGGCTGTTGATCAGCACGACTTGACCTCACACGGCGCCTTTTTCTCCTTGGTTGCTTTTCCCCTAGCTCCTTATCTTGGACCGGATTGGTAGCATCATTTTGACTGTTCAATGGCTCCACATCCAGTGGTTGATTTCTCCTATTATCTTTAGATGAAACAGAACCCACACCATCATCAACACCATCAACATCATAATCACTGTCACTACTAACAGCAGGTTTCTTGTTTTGGCCATGTCCACCTTGAGGAGTTCCAGTTACACCAGATGTTCCATTGTCACTGCTAGGTTGTCGAATGAGAGATTCCTCTCGACTCAACACCCCTAACCAAATTGCACTCTCCTTTGCAGTCATCTTATCCTGTAAGCATTTTGATTGACGGACATGCCTTCTAATTTTCGCAATATCAGGTGACATATGCTTTATTACAGCTGTTAATACCCCAACTTTCCACATCTTTTTCAAATCATGTGGTTTCTTATAAGGAGGGCTCTGACCTTGGTGTAGTCCTAATTTTACCCACCAATCTTCATTTCCCGTTGGCCACCAAGGTGGTGGAACTCCCTTCTCCAATGGGTACTTCCTTTGTGGGGGATCACAGTGTTGCATCAAAGAAGATAAAAGTGACCCTAAAGTTGCATCTTGAAGATCTTGAAGAACACTTTGAGAGTTCCCATTTCTACTGTTTTCTGCCTCACCCATGGCCAAACACTCTGCTTCATACTTTGCTATGGCTGCTGGCCCATTCTTATCGAACTTCACCTTTTCCTTCCACCAAGCTCTTATATTATCAGAAGCACCACTTACCGGTTTACCCTTCTCAGGAATGATCCCATACACAAATCCACGTGCTTTGCAAACTTCCATCAGCTTCAACATATACTTAAGAATCCCATCTTGGGCTCTCGACATTTTCTTCCTCCGAGCCTGATCAGACGTCTGCTTGGGCTTTTGCTTCTCTGCAGCTTGTAGTGCTGCAAGCTTCTGTTTTTCTTTAAGCCTTTTGAGTTTGATACGATCCTTCCACATTCGCTTCTCCAAATCTTCTGCTTCAATTTCTTCATCACTGACATCTTTTTCCGCAATATTGTCACACCTTAAATCATCAACTTCAATGTCCGAGCTGTCAGACACATAAGTAATCGAACATTAAACAGTGCTGCAACGTTCTACGAAAAGAATCATTAAAAAATACACCAACTAAACTCTGAACATCACACTGTAACATGTTATATAGCCTCAAAACAAAGACAAAGAATTGCTCATCTCATATAAGCAAAATAGTTATGATAGGATCAGGAAAGTTAAGGATTTTTAGATTCTTCAGCAGTCCCAAACAACAAAAAATCTAATACTCAACAGCTGAATTCTTTTTCCACACATACGATAAGAAATCATGAAACTCAATATATATATATATATATATATATTATCATTCTGCCACATAACAGCCTTCTCTTTACATTCAAAACTATCCTATTTTGCATTCCCCTTCCAAAAACCTCAGCCCAACTCAAATTTCATGCATTTACAATCAAATCAAAGAGACCCTAAAAATCTAATTCAATAAAAAAAAAATCTTTCAATGAGACATCAATTAACAGAACACACAAAAAATCCAAAAAAATCAAACTTTTTGAGCCACATGACAAAAAGATCAAAACCTTGAAAAATACTGACCAAATATCAGCTCCAATCTCTTCCAATTCACCCATCAAACCTGATCAAAAACGAAACTTTCAACCTCAAATCAACCAAACAAGTAATTAGGTCAGTTGGGTCTCAAATTCTGAAACCCTTTTCTCTACTATTTTTGAGGGGTAGAGAAGAAGACAGAGATGGAGGAGTCCTTTATGAGAGATAGAGATGAACCCAGAAGAAGAAAGGGTGCAAAGAAATGGGCCAAATAAAGGTTTTTTACCAGAGAAATAAAAATAATAATAATAAAACAGTTTTTTTCTGGCTAAATTCAATGCACAAAACTAAAATTTACTTTTAAATATTTTTTTAGAGAGAGAAAGAGAGAGTGCTTTGCTGTGTCTTTATTTAGATTTTAGAGAGACAAAGAAAAGTCGAAAGAGAGAGATGATGTCGATGATGACGTTTGTGAGTGGCCGCCTCGTAAGCAGGTCAAGTCGGATAAAAACACCTAAAATATTTTAAGTAAATTATAAATTAGTTCCTCAACTTTTGAAAATAAATAAATTAGTCCTTTTTATTTTGAAAATTAATTATTTGATCACTTAATCAGTATTAAACATACTTAATTTAATATTAATTTATTCAAAAAAATCCTATTTTTTAATCAATTATTTTATACTTTTTTACTTATTTTTTTATTTTTTATTTCTTAAAAAAAATCAAGATAAGTTGAAAAAGAATAAAAAGAATTAAGTTATAATTTTTTTAAAAAAATATAAGGATTAAATTATTTTTTAAAACAAGAAAAACTAATTAATTTGTTTTCCTAAAAGAGGACTAATCTCCACATCTTTTCTCACTTTGTGAGGTAGAATCACCTGCATTCATATCTAAATTAAGGGAAAAAAAACGTTATTTATAACGGTAAATAGTATTTTTTTTTTAATTTTTGAAAAGTAAAATTAAATTGGAATTTCCAATATAAGATGATAGAAGAAAAATTATTTATATAATCAACGCTTGGTTTGGTGAAAGAAAGTATGGAAAATAAATAATAATAACCTTATTTGCTAGGCTACTGCCTTTTTTTTTCTTGGAAAATATGGAAAGGCATTTTGTTGGCTTTGAGGTATTATAAAGAAATAAATGAAATGATGAAGAGAAAATTTATTTCGTTTTTTTTTAGAAATAAAAATTAAGAAAATTTTTGTTCGTTGAAAAAAAGAGAGAATTAAAACCCAAGAAGTTAAGAAAGATATCAATTAATAATGGTAAGTTTAGTTGGCACATTGAAAAAAAAAAAAAAAACCAGTTGGCAAACTCATTGGACTTTGTGAGCCAAAGGACATGAATGACATTTACTGTCTTTGGTTCAAAAGAAAAATGAACCTAAACTAATATATTTGCTCAAATAATTTAAAAAAAAAAAAAAAGAAGAAGAAGAAGAAAGAAAGAAAGAAAGTAGCAAGGAATTATAATGAAATCTAATTCAGAAAAAAAAATACATGAAATTAATAATATCCTTTCATCGATAAATGGAAAATATGAAACTATTTTAGCAAAATGATGAATTGTATTACTGAAGAAGATCACATAACATTTAACAATTCTCATCTTATTTATAACTATATATATATAAAAATGAGAACTCTTTAAAAAATTTTGATTGGCTAGTATATTCTCGATACTATATATATATAACTTTCTTAACAATATAACTTCAATTGAAAATATTTTAGTAATCATTATTTTTAAGAGTTATATATATTTATCCTAACTGTTATTTATTGATTATTCTGACTATCAAACTCTAAAAAAAGCTTAAAAACAAGTCAATAAAAAGCATATGATTATAAAATTAGAAATGATTAAACTACGTTAAAATTCGTCAAGCTATTAAAAGAATCTTTAGTTAATTTTTTATACCCTATTTTTGGTTATTTTATTTCATTATTTTACTCTTTTAGACAAATATTGATAATATTAAAAAATACAAGGTTTTATAAAATAATTTACAAATATTAAAAAATACAAGGTTTTATAAAATAATTTACAAAATTTTCATTTATCTCTATATTGTTAGTTTATATTCACGTCACATATAATTGAAAAGAACTACTTAGATTAAAAATAGCTCAAAATAATATTCATTATAATCGTCAAAAATTTATACAAAAAATATACATTTTATTTTATTTTATTTATAAATAATTTAAAAAAAAACTATCAGAAACTATATAATAGTTCAATGATACACATGTGAAACACGTGTCATGAAACTATATACTATTGATTTCTTTATATATTTTTTTTGCTATTATTATTAGCTTTTAGTAAACGATTTATATATATATATATATATATATATATATATATATATATATATATATATATATATATATATATATTGGTCTCTTTTAAAATAAGAAAGAACTCTAGCCATGCTTCAGAAGTCAATTTCAACACATAAAATCCCAATTTCCTTCATGTCAGATTCTGATGCAGCTTCATTGGATGAGGCCCAAAAGCAGAGGTGCATTCTCTAGCTCAGAAGTCAACCCTAAATTAGATGGATCACAATCTCTCTTGTATTTAGTCCTTATACTTTTTAAATTATTTTAATTAAGTTTTTTATTAGAGTTTTACTTATAATACTTATTATGTATTTAAGAACGTAATGTACCATATTAACTCACAACTTAATAGTGATACAAAAGAGAGATAGTAACAAAATAAAATAAAGAATTGAGATAATCAATCAATACAAAAAGAATATAGACTCTTAACGAAAAATAATTCAAAAAAATATAAAAACCATACAATATGCAAAACCCTAAACTAAATAGCAAATCCCATTTTAAATTTACAGATTTTTCAATTTTTACCTGAACTAACTACTGAGTTAACCATTTTTTTTTACATGTTTTGGCCAAATAGAATATGATCATAAAATGCTATGCATCTAACCTACGAACCTCACATATTTTACGAGTAAATTATAAATTAATCAAGTTTTGAAAAAAAAATTAATTAGTTTTTTTTTAAAAAAAACTAATGATTTAATCGTTGCATTTTTAAATTTTTTTGTAACTTAATTTTTTTTGTATTTTTTATTTAAAAAAATAGAAAAAGGACAAAATAGGTAAAAAAAAATGGAAGGATTGATGAAAAAAGATGAAAAAATTTCAAAGAAATTAATATAAAATTAAGTATGATCAACACCAGTTAAGAGATTAAATAATTAATGTTTGAAACAAGAAGGACTAGTTAATTCATTTTTCTAAAATAGAAGGATTAATTTATAATTTACTCTATATTTTACTTGACAGTTGACACCATTTCTTTTCCAACCTTTCACTATATTGTCACAGATTTTCAAAGTCTAATTCAATTTGGCTTTCACCTTCCCTTATGACCTCCGGTCACCATCAAAAATCATGACACACACAGACATAAGAAGCAGAGACACATTTCCATTAACATACTTTCCCATTTCTAAAATGCTGGTAATTTATTGGGAAGAAGACCAGCCTTATGCTTGGTACAAAATGAGGCAAGTAGAGCTGCTGTTATTTCTCAGGACAAATGAAAAGCCGCAGGCATGAACAATCTACCTAGACCTAATAATTTCTTCTTTCATGGCAATGGAAAGAGCACTAAGGTTGCCTCCTGTTTCTACTCTAACACCAGGCATGGCAATTGCTCTACTTCCTACAAATCCACCTTCTCCAACTCTTATCTTACCAAACTTAACTTTCCCTCCTTCACCTTCATATATGTGTCCAAACAGTAAAGCTTCTTTTCCTACACAGCCACCTCTCTCAATCTCTACCATTTCAGGATTCAGCGCTGCTCCCATGGTATCTACATAGGCTCCTTGGTCCAGTTCAATGTCTGAACCCATGAGCTTTAGCCATAGCAGAAACAAGAAAGACCCACTTGTCATTTCCATGAAGTAGTCCCCTACAACAGTTCTGAAAGCTTGCCACACAGTGTCCATGAAGACTCCTATGCTCCAAATTTGTACTGTTTGGCCTTCTTTCTTTTTCCCCACAAGAATCCATTTGGCCACAGCGCATGCTAATGCAGCTAGAATTCCTGAAGAAACCCAAAGCAAAGGAAGCAGCCAATGCATTGCAAGTTTCTTGCTTTCCTTGAGGCGAAGGATCCAGTTTAGAGGAGCAAAGATTAGTAACCCCATCAGGAAATATGGAAGAAATGTTTGTAACAATGGTTGAGCAAAAATAACCCACAAGGTCTGATCCCATGTCCTTGCTAGAGTCACTTCTACTGAGTCCTTTTTCTCCAATGCTGCTGCCATTGGACAGCCTGAAAGGTCCACTTTAACATCAGATTGCTCTATGAAGAGTCTCCAAGCTTCTGGAAGTGTTTCTCCATTTCTCAAATGCTGACAAATTTCATAGATCAATGAACGACCATGATCAATTGAAGCACTTTGGGAGGATGATGTTGCCCGGATCACATCCACCTCGTGGCTTCGAATATAAGGGTTAAACTCTAGTGCTTCTGATTCTTCACTGGTGAGATTTTGATCAAGGTGAATTTCCCCAACATCAATATAAGGGAATTCAGACTCATCCCATGGTTTTGTGCAGTCAATTGCAATGTCACAGGTGGCTTCATCATGCGGCACAGGCCGGATTTGCAGCTGGAAAATGTAGCGAACACCTCCTGGAGAACTTACGCGGCGTTGGAAATCTTCAGCAAGGAAAAGTAAGGGTCGAGTGTCCTTCTCATCCCTTGGAATTGCACCGGTTTCTGGTGGGAGGATTCCAGTAGGCTCCACCTTACCTGAATCCTCACTAATGTTTTCGTCACTAGGCCGCAACTTGAATTTCACATACATTTCCTGTCCGTCTGCAAACCTAAAGAGCCTGCAAATATTTGAGTAGTAATGTAGCTCAGCAAAAGAATTAGCATTGCGAAGAGACATCCAAACTGCATCACGGATATGTGGGACTCGCTTCACATGCTGCTCCCTTGCAGGAAGTCCACAAACTAGCCATGTTGCGAAATCAGCAACGGTTCGTGCATAGAATGCTTTGCCTGTCTTCAATGTGAGATCAAGAAGGGAGGAAGACCTACCTCCATTGTCATCAGAAAGTATTCTTATCGCTGCTCCACGAGCATCAATTCTAGCATCATCGTCAGCACTCAAGCTATTGCTATGCCTGACTATGATAGGATAGCTCTTCCCAGCCCGGAAAATCTTGTGATCTGGAATTCCTTTCAGGTTGCCATAAATCTTCAAGTATCCCTTCCCGCCAACACCAATTCGATGGAAATACCTTGTTTTAACCTTCAAAGTTGTGGCAGCCAAATTTGCAGCTAAATTGCCAACTATCTTCTTGTATTTGAAGTCCATCTCTTCTATCCTGTCATCCAAAGCATGCATGGTGTTCTTGATCATGACTGGAGTTTGAGACCCAATATAGACACCACCCTGTTGAAGAACTGAATTTGCAGGAGCCACTGAAAGAGCACCGAGAATCACATCTTTTTGAACAACTGAACCTGGCAGGATCAGACTTTGGCTCCCAACCACCGAATTGTCCTGCACCTCAATATTTCCTCGAGTAAAGCCACTAGATGAATAGAAGCCAGCAATCATACGGCTGAAGTCACCAAGATGCACACCATCACCAATTGTGATGAGCTGAGGATCTGACACAGGATTGATAGCCCTGATGGAACAATGTTTACCGACAGCCGCACCCAAAAGGCGTAAATACATGCAGAAGGCTTCTGTTCCTGACAGGAGTTTGGCAAATCTCAGGTGGCAGGCAATAGTAATTCTGTGTCGGAGCCAAGCCTTCAAGTGGGATTGGTTTTTCTCTTGTTTATCAGCAAGAACATGGGTCAAAGTG